TTCCATGCCATGCATGCACACACACAAACAAGGACGACAAGCCGAGTGCAAGCCATAGGGTTGCACCAACAGAGCCTCGGCCTGGATGAAATACACAGAAAACTCATGAGGGTATTTCATGTCGCGAATTCGTAATTTGTCGTAGATCGTCCGATTTCCAAGCAGGCAGTGCGACGGCTGAGATTACATTTCTATTGACTGGGGGAAGCACTTTACTTGCGCACCGTTAGATGGAAATCGACAAATATTGGACGGCTAAAAAACGCGAGGCACTTGGTTTCCCAAAATACGTTCCGCGCTGAACTTGAAAGCCAGCCCCGAGACGCGAGTCACGTTACCCCCATCTACACCCACGAAAACGCGACTTTCAAACGCAGTGTGTTTGAAGGTCGCGCCTCGCAATTTGGGCCGCGGGCTTTAAGGGTGTAGGGAATAGAGATAATTAGCGTCCTAGTGTGGCTCGCTTATTCAGCATTTCAAAAGCACATGCGTTGACTAGCAGCGTGTTAGGCGAAAAGGGTCGTGGCCCTTGAAATTGACCTAGCACCTAGGTAGAAATGGGCCGCGGTCTTTGAAATCGCCCTGACGGGAGTTCGAATTGGGCCGCAGCCCTTAATCGACTTAAAGCTTGGATCTCGAAACCCCCGAAAATCAAATCCTGAGGTTTTTGGGGATTGGGTTGTCGACCAAACCAACCCTGCGACCCTCGTCGGTTTTGACGAGGTTTCACTTTGGTTCATGCTGATCGCGCGTAGGTTGTAGCCAATCTAATCTCTTTTTTTTTCATCTTTTTGTTCAATTCGTTAATTTTGCCCAGCCTCCCAACCAAAACCAAAGTTTTTTTGTTAGGGGGGTTTTGAGATCTGTGCTTTAACATCTAGAAACACGAGCTCCCTAAAAATACTTATTATCTAGATGTTGATCTAACAATGACATACCTTCAGCCTTGAGGATTGAGAGAGAGGGCAGGTATAGCTACTGTAGGAAATGGAGGAGCGTTAGATGAGGAGAGAGAGGGGTTGCTGAAACCCTAGAGAAGTTCAATCTCATCTCAAATGTTATTTTATGTACACGTTTATGTGTCAAGTGAACATCGAGTTTTTCATGTGTTTTCAAGCGATGATTTACATAGTCTATGTATGCTAGTATATTATGGAAGGTTCTAGTTCCCCAACATCATTGATGAATACTCTTGCATGCCTTTTATTCACATCCTGGATGGAACACTAGTCTGAGCTCTATTTCTCGTTCCGTTGTTATGTGCTGTTGTCAAATTTTGATTATACCCAACCCATTTTCTTGATGCAAAGTGAAGGGACAAAACGACATCAAGGGACATCACTTTACGGTATAGTATGATGCCACATATTTTCAGTTCGGTAGAACAGGGGCACCATTTTGAAACACGCAGCACCCATTGGTACAAAAAAGGTGACGCCCGTCAGAGTTGTCGTACCCCTACTTTATACGTGCCCTTAGGACGGACAAACGCACTCTGCTCTCACAGTATTCGAAGCACAATAAAGAGTCCTGATGCCTGTCCACCATCCCCTCATCAGCATGGAGTCAAGCGGACCCGACGAAGCTGGAACGGCCAAGGCAAACTGAAATGGATGGCACGGTATAAGGAGCTTACATCCTCAAAGAAGACTATACTAGGACTAAGCGCATCCATGGACAGCATTCAAAGGTGGATGGCACAGTAGAGCAAAGGGTGTTAGAAGTCGCGACGATGAGTAGGAAGCAGCTGCCTAGGACTTGTTTCTCACTCGCGCTACCACAATATAGAAGAGGCCTTTTATCAACACATATGCCTCCATGGAGCAAAAGGGCATCATGTCTCTGTTAGTAACACAAGGAGTGGAGCTGGGAGTGGGGGAAGAATAACCACCAAAGGAAGCCATGAAAGGCATCATCACATTGAGCCAGAGCTTTATGGGTCACTAGGGTGTGGTGAATTTTATTTCTTGGAGCATTTGTTATGTTCCTAAAATACGCTTCTGTAATGTCTCCATACTCCCTTGCTGTGACAATACCGAAATCTCCTGGCACGAGTACCCCCTCAAAAAAAGAGCTCTTGGGCTTTTGTTCCGGACAAAGGGTTCTAGTTTAAGTAATCATTTTGACCCTATTTTGTGGTTCCGTCAACAGTGAAAATGCGAGAAGAACAGTGAATTTTGGCGAACAATAGCTGATTCTGGAATTGCAGACCTAAAAATCACTTGAATTCCCCGGTCATAACGCGCCTGTATTTCCTCGTCGCAAGCTTCTCGCCCAAACCCATTGTAGAAACCCCAAAAGCTTCATGTTGCGATACACACAGTGTTTTTGCGCAAATCGCATCCAAATGATCGTGTCGCAACAAACAGCGGAACGGGTTCTTTCGCCACTCCTCCAATCAGCAAGCTCGACTAGAATTCGTTTCAATGCACCTTTCTTGTTCAGGCTTGAACTCAAAGCTGCCTTCCATTTTATACTTGGACGGATTTCAAAGCACCAAATTCAAGTGGTTTCCAGGTCTGCTATTTTAGCCGCTGGCTTTAAGGGCCTTTTTCGATAGCACTATTTTGAACCCATTCTGATTTTCAATTTTAGCCGCATCCGAGACGCTTTCGCTGGTTTCATGTGCAGCAGTCTATGCTTGTTAGAAATATGAGCTTAATAATGCTATAGGAATAGGGATTCAAGCATACAAAACTTACTCCACAAGGTCACCTCCGATGGTCCTTGGGTGCCTGGTTAAAACCAACCCTATCCGAGGGTCGGTGTTTAATGAGATTAAGTCAAGTATAGCATTGATCCATTTCCACTAGAGCCTTCGTTTAGCATAAGCGCAACGGATAGGTGACAATTTGGTGCATGTGAAACAATTCCCTTACGTCAATTCGATGATAGGAATTCTCATTCATCAAAGGATATGTTACAAATGAAACCCACAAGTATATTTATTCTAATAGCCCACCAAATGCAAAAGCAAATAGCCCACCACTCACTAGCTAGACCCACAGTCCAAAACCTCATATATTGCGACACAAAATCGTTTGTGACAACAGCCACACTCTTCCACAAGTGGCACCTACGAACTCCATGTATTTCACCTGCGAGTTACACGTGAAAGTTGCACAACATTCACTCTAAATTTCACCTGCGAGTGCCCACGCATTTTCACTTGCGAACCTTAGTTGCAAATAGTGTCAAACACATGTGGATACGAAATTCACCTGGCACCATGCACGTCAGCCTGGAACCATGCGTAATTCAACTGAGAATGTACTCCACATGCATTCCCTTATGATGTTGACCCCTTTACGTACTTACCCACGCCCAACATAAGGCTTATGCTAATTTCTCAATGACAAAAACTATGCACCTTGTTAGACTCCTAAAGGACTCCCATGAAACTCCCAACAGACTCTTGCACCACTCTCATAATTCCTGTATAAAACCTCCATAGGCTTCCTCATGGGACCCCCATAGTACTCCCATGGGACTCCCATGTGACTTCCATGTGACTCCCATGTGACTCCAACGTGACTCCCGGTGTCACTCCCATGTGACTCTTGTGTGACCCATGTAACTTCCATGTGACTCTCGTATAACTTCCATGTGACTCCCATGTGACTCCTGTGTGACTCCCATGTGACTCCCATGTGACTTCCGTGTGACTCCCATGTGACTCCAATGTGACTTTCGTGTCTCTCCCATTTTGGCAATACAAAAACGAGTCTAATATCTGTATCCAACATAAAACACCATATCATGAAGTGCCAAGCGCCACATCAGATCGTCAAAATCTCGTTTGATTGGCGCAAAACAAAAGCACATTTGTCAAAAAAATAACAGGCCCTCTACGAGTGCCACGTGGAGTCACAGCGAACCTCAACCACGACCCAAGATGCTAGTCAGTTTGGTGTGGATTGAAGGGGGGGTAGGGGGGGGGAGGGGGGTTGCGATGGTTTGGAGGCACACGCATTGTGCTGCATGACGATCCACGCAGTGTACTTCTCCTTCCTATCAAACCAGAACCAGTTTGGGCACGCGTGTGGGTTAAAAAAAAAAAAAAAAAAAAAAAAAAAAAAAACAGTGACCACTCAGGGGTTGCAGCAAAATCAAAATAGGGGTCATTGTGTGTCGCGAGCCCTGCCGACACGGCAGCCCTAGGTGACGAATCCAAACCAATCTGATATGCGGTGCTGCAAAATGGCAGGCTTAGGGACCGATATAAGGGACCCTAATCCTGATACCATAAACGCCAGGATAGAAGACCCCTATGTCTTATCATAGACCGACCTAAAAAGTGGTGATGTTTCTTATAAGGAAAGCCCGGGTGGTATGGGTATCTTATGAACGGGAAAATGTCTTATGAACGGAGCACATTTTAGGGGGCGAAAAAAGTCAAATTGGGGCTTTTGGGATCGTGCGTCACTTGTTCGATATCGAAGCATTTAACAAAGGGGGAATTTGTCACAAACGATGCAATCATTATACCATGCTAGCGTGACGCCAAGGGGAAGCATCTACTTCACTGTCACACCAGCTGGCAATGGCCGTCACATGATGGGTGGCAAATGATGCTCTTCATGGCAGCATCACAGCTTCTGGATGCTGCTCGATGAAAGACGCGATGAAAGACGCGCCCGGGGGCTGTGAGCTCATGGAGAGGGGTGGAACTCTCATTCTTGCATTCAGCTCTCATTCTGTTTGGTAACTCCTCTGCTCCCCTGCCTTAGCTCGGCTTGCTCCCCTGCCTTAGATCAGCTTGCTTCCTTGCCTTAGCTCGGCTTGTACCCCTGCCTTCCGCCGTTCGGCTTGCTGCCCTGCCTTAGCTCGGCTTGCGTCATTGCCTGCCGCCATGCGCAACAAGCATCCACCTGAGGACAGGCATCTGGGTTTAGGCAATGGGCAACTGGTTCCTCACCACCCCATGTTTGTGTCAACATTTTTGGGCGCCACAACTCCCCTGGCCACACTCTGAATATCCCCGCTCCCGCTGCGAAGTGGTATGCGAAGAGCGGTATGCGAAGTGGATGGTCGACTCCAAGGTGAAGAAGAGCTGAATGGTACAAAGTGACAACAATGCTGCCACCACAACGAAGAAGCGGGGTGCGGATGCTGATGGAGCCTCTCCTAAGCAGCGGCGCTACACGGCGGCAGAGAAGGGAAAATCTAAGGCGGACGACAAATGACGGTCAACAAAGTGGAAGGATGCGGCACCTTGCGGTCTACAAAAGTCCGCAAAGCGGGCGGGCATGCCTAAATCTGACGAGGTCCCTGAAGATAAATCCGACGACCAGTACGAAGAGGCTGCTAGCCCGATCCCAACCTTCCATGAGGGAAAGAAGCCGAAAGACCCCACGCAAAAAATCCAGATGCCCAGCCACCGTCGCAGCATAACTGGCCTTCAAAGAAGATCTGTCATAGCTTCACCCTGCACGAAAAGACTAAGTGGGCTTGCCACAATTACGAGCTCAAGTCATTCAAGCGGACGGCGGCCGATGCGGGCGTGGGTGCGTGCCCTATTAAGCGGTGGGTAGACCAGCAGAAGCTAGGGTGGTACAAGGGTGCAGCCAAGTGTCGCAAGTGACTCCATGGCACGGGGCAACATGCGCATCACCCTGTCATGGAGGAAAAGCCGTTAAAGTAGATCTGCGAGCAGGGGGGCTCGGCTTGGCCATTGGCGTGAAGCAGATCCGCGAGTGGAGTCTCAACTACATGCGCAAGCGGCGGCTGAAGGGCCCTTGGCAGGCGTCTAGCCACTGGAGCCAGTGGTTCCGCAAGTGCTGGGGATTCACTATGCTCTGCCGTACGAAGGTCGGCCAAAAGATGTCTCCTGGTGAGTGTGAGCCTGCCTACCCTTGCTGGATTCTTCCCCTTTGCTTGCTGATGTTCATTTGTCGGAATTTGTTGTATCGCAAGCAAAGCAAGCTCTCATCTCCCACCTCACTCCCCCTCCCTCTCTTCTCCTATTCACAGAGTGTGCTGGTGATTGTGAGGGCTTCTGGAAATTCGTCAGATGCAACCGCGCGCGCCACAATCTTGACATGTGCTGCGTCATCAATGCAGATCAGACGTTGCTGTTTGTTGAGACGCCCGCGGAAAGGACCCTGGAGCACAAGGGCTCGCACTCAGTTCCTGTGAAGAGTGCGGGATATGAGAGGAGGAGGGGGGGAGAGAAGGAGGAGGAGGAGGAGGAGGAGGAGGAGGAGGAGGAGGAGGAGGAGGAGGAGGAGGAGGAGGAGGAGGAGGAGGAGGAGGGGGGGGGGAGGAGGGGGGGGAGGAGGAGGAGGAGGAGGAGGAGGAGGAGGAGGAGGAGGAGGAGGAGGAGGAGGAGGAGGAGGAGGAGGAGGAGGAGGAGGAGGAGGAGGAGGAGAGGAGGAGGAGGAGGAGGAGGAGGAGGAGGAGATGTGCCATGGTGCTGCAGCAGAGGAAGACAAGCTGCATGAGCCAGGGAGTACTGTACAGTATGCTTGGGGGGTGTCTGATTTCTGGAGGCCCGCCCCTGTTGAGCTTGCTGAGGAGGTTGAGTGTGATATGTCGACAATGGAAACCTTTGAGGATTTTTAGTGGGTTTATTGTGCGTGCTTTGAATGCCTCTTACTAGCCTGATGGACAACAATGCGTATCAACACATGCAAACATGTAACAGCCTGGAAAAAAGGACAGGGTGTCTTATCTCATACCGACCTAAAAGATGTTTCTTATTAACGGAAGAGGCGAATACAAGGTAGACGCCTAAGACAAGACATAATATCTTCTACTCCATGGGGGTAAGTCTGGACGCCCTTAGGTGTAAGATTAAAACTGTCCCGACCCGCCCAACAGTTCTAGGCCTTTCTGTCAACAAGCATATTGTTTTGTCTACACATATGTAGTTGTTAGGATTAAGGACGGAGTCTAGGTGAACTTAGGAGCTAGAATTACTCAAAATATAAATCCGAAATTCTGGACAGAAAAGTCGTCTTTACAAGAAACGACGTCGACGAAAAACTAGCCGTTGGAATGTCGCGAAACTTGGATATGTTGTAGCTCTTAATCTCAGCTACCGTTCCCAATTTGAATCACGTTGATTGATGAAGTATTCGCGACGCTATGGCTTTCGACGCATTAGGGGGTAAGCTGTAGGAGGAGAACTTAACTCAATCTCAAAGGTTCAATCAAAGTTCAAGAATCTCACAAGGAATTAGAAGGAGCAAGAGAAAGGTTGGGATAGGAAGAGAGGGATGAGAGGGAAGGTCCCAAGAGAGTCCCCAACCAAGGAAACCCCATAAGCACAAAGATTCCCTCCCTATAGGAACCCCAACTTTGACATTTGTCCCTTCCCAACCAATCCATCCAAGTTGGCCACCCTTGCCAACCTAGCTTGGTTGTTCCCAACCAATTTGCAGCTGTTACAGTAGAGTGACAAGTTTCCCCAACCCCAAAGGTCCCAACTCCATATAAAGTCACCCCACAACTTCACTTAGTAACCGCCGCAATTGTAACGCAAGCTCATGAACTTTGAATCTTCATAGCTTTCGCGTTCTTGCTCCGATTGAAGCGATTCTTGTTGCGTCGGAAAGATCTTCTCAAGATCTATTATCACAAATACCTGCTCAGACAGAATAACACAAAACACATTCCCAAACTCCAGAACACACCACACACAAATGCTTGCACATTCAAACCACACATGCAAGTTGAAAAAACATGGGATGGGAGGCAGACAGAATGTGATAGCATATGATGACATCACACAACAATCTCCCCCTCTGGCTGCCAACCATCATCGACCATACCACATCTCAAGCATGCATACTCAATGCACACTCATCCCAGCAAGCTTCATGCCCTTCCAATGATCCGCCTCCGCAAGACGCTTAGTGAAAATATCTGCTGCCTGCTGATGGGTCTTCACTATCTCCAGCCGCACCTCCTTATCAAGGATTCTCCTCACCCAATGCCACTTAGGCCTTATGTGTTTTGTCAGCCCATGCAGACAAGCATTCTTGGCCAGCTTCACTGCAGACTCATTGTCACAGAACACAACTGTCGGCTCCTCCTGACCAACTCCCAACTCCTCCAACAAACGCCTCAGCCATACCACTTCCTTGGCCCCATGGTGTAAGGCCATGTACTCAGTCTCACATGAAGACAATCCCACCTCATTCTGCTTCTTGCTGCGCCAGCTCACAGCACCACCTCCTAGCAAGCACACATAACCCCCAATGCTGGTGCCATCCGCTTTCACTGAGTTGAAGCTAGCGTCAGTATAGCAACTCAAGAGCATCTTTCCACTCTTCACATCTGCAGCACCTCTCTGCAACCGCTGCCTCACTCCACTGTACTCCAATCCCACTGATGCCGTAGCACTCACATAGCGGACCAACCTCTTGGCCGCTTCCAGCTGCTCATGACTAGGGCGTGAGACCACACTAGCCAACCGTGATGTAGCAAATGCAATGTCAGGCCGTGTATGATTTGCAGCATAATTCAGCGACCCAACCATCGAATGAAACAGCTTCCTGTCACTATCACCCACTACCTCCTCATCAGCACATGGCTCCACAGTGAACCCCGAAGGTAGTGGTGTTGCTGGCTTTCCCCCATCTTGCAGCCCATACTTCTCAGCCAGCCCCTCACAGTACTTCCTCTGGTGCAACCTCAGCACACCCTTTTCCACATCTCTCTCCACGTGCATCCCCAAGTAGTACTTCACCTCACCCATCTTGGAGCACTTGAACTGCATCTCCAGCATCTGCTCTGCGCTGTCCAGCAAAGCAGTGGATGCAGAAAAGAGAAGGATATCATCCACATACACCAAGAGCATGAGGATTTCATCCTTCTCCTGCAGCAGGAACAGGCTGGGGTCACACTCACTCTTCTTGAAACCCCCAGCCAACAGCGCCTCCTCCAACTTGTGATACCATGCACGAGGCGCCTGCTTAAGGCCATAGATGGCCTTCTTCAGCCTGCAGACCCTGCCGCTCCCGTCATCCAGCCCCTCTGGCTGCTTCATGTACACCTCCTCCATAATGATCCCATTCAGAAAGGCAGTCACAATATCCATCTGCCGAATCTTCCATCCCAGGAGTGCAGCTATCGCCAACAGCACCCTCAGTGTTGTTCCTTTCCCCACAGGAGCAAACACCTCATCATAGTCCTTCCCCTTTGTCTGCTGAAACCCCCGTGCCACAAGCCTAGACTTGTAGCGGGTCAGCTCCCCTTCAGGTCCATACTTGTGCCTGTAGATCATCTTGGAAGTGATTGCCTTCTTTCCAGGAGGCAAGTCACACAGGTCCCATGTCTCGTTCTCAATTAGGGACCCGAACTCCTCATCCTCACTCGCCTTCCACTTCTCCCCATTTGGTCCATTCAAGGCCTCTTCTCGAGTCTTGGGCTCAGGGATTGGTGCCCAGTAGCAGTGAGCGATCTCATCTTCCTCAATCTGCTCAACCACACTCCCAGCCTGCACCACATTCGGCTTGCCTCTTCCCCCATAGGTCAGCCTCACTGGAGGGCGCACATCCCTCCTAGGACGCTCAGGCGGGTGTGGAACTCGAGGTGGAGACTCATGCTGCTGCTGCTGCTGCTGCTCTACTTCAGCTGCTCCCCCTTCCTCAGTCACCCCAGACATCTCCTCCTCTGACACTGCAACCTCCACCTGTCTTGAAGGCTGCTGCACCTCATCTGCCTCCACAATGAGCGGTGTAGATGGAAGCTTCTGTTGCTGCTGCTTCCATTCCTTGTAGTACAGGGACTCAAGAAACTTCACATCCCTTGACACTGTCAACTTCTGGGTGGTCAAGTCCCATAGCAGCCACCCCTTGTGATCCTTTGCAATCCCCAAGTGCACACCCCATCTTCCAGAAGCCTCCAACTTCCCCCTTTTCTCCTTAGGCACATGAAACACCACCATGCACCCAAATGCCCTCAGCATGTTCACAGCTGGAGCACTCCCATACCACTTGACGTATGGGATCCACTCCTTATCTCCAACTGTAGCCAGCACCCTGTTCTTCACAAGGGCGACCTGCCTCAGTGCAGACACCCAAAACGGATCAGGCAGCCCTGCACGCCCAAGGAGAGTGCGTGCCCCCTCCTGCAGGGTCCTGTTGAACCTCTCAGCCACGCCATTCTGCTGTGGGTTGTAGGGCACTGTCAGTTGATGCTGGATCCCCTTCCTCTTCAACTCCCCCTCAAAATCAGCTCCAATGAACTCCCCACCATTGTCACTACGGATCACCTTCACCTTGTGTCCGCATTCCCTCTGAGCTCTCGGCATCCACTCCTTAAGGACAGCCGCTGCCACCTCTCCCTTGCTCTTCAAAGGGTAAACCCACACTGCCCAAGTGTGGTCATCCACAATTGTCAAGAAATAGCGGCTGCCTGAGAGGGAAGGGGCTCTTGTGGGCCCCACCACATCCATGTGCACAAGTGCAAGTGGGGTCTTGGATGGTCCAGTTGCACTGTTGAAGGGGAACTTGGAGAACTTGGTCTCCAAGCATGTAGGGCAGCTCCCAATCTCCTTCACTTCCCCTTTCACCTCCAAGCCCTTCAGGCTCCCATTCTTCACCAACTTCTGCAGCATAGGGAAGTTCACATGACACAACCTCTCATGCCATGTCTCCCAATCGGCCTCTCCACTCCTTGATGAAGCCTTAGCCCATGCCGCACTCGCATCCACACCAGCAAGCACCTCACCATGTGTCTGCTGCTTCTGCACTTTCTTGACTGCTTCCAGCACCCCATCAGTTGGTGCAGTTGCATCTCCTCCTGCTGTTGCCTTTGCCACTGCTGCCGTTGCTGCTGTTGGAGTCTTCCCATTCCAAGGGATGATGGGCAGCTGCCACAGGTCCTTGATGCAGCTGGTCTCCTCTTCCAGACTCCACAGCACCTTCTTCCCAAGCTTAGCACGGCAGCTGGTTGGTCCAAAGGTCACTTCGGCCTTGCTCTTCTGCAGTCGTCGCACAGAGAGAAGGTTAGCAGACAAGCCTTCAACCAGCAGAACATTCCCAAGCCCCACAAGCTCCCCATTAGCTCCCTTAACCTTGGCATTTCCAACACCAATGACAGGGAGCAAAGCACCTGACGCTGCTGCCACATACTTGATCTTCCCAGGGGGTTTTACCTCATCAAGCAAATCTGCCCGTGGGGTCATGTGACTGGTGCAACCTGAATCAATCACCCAGTGCGTGAGAGGGTGCATCACAACCTTTCCCACAGATCCCACATCACCCTCATGCCCATGCACATCCTCAACCATGAGATACATCCCAGGATAGGCGTTACCTTGTGCACCTTCACCTTGTGCACCTGAGCCTTGCACAGCGCCACCTTGTGCGCGTTCACCACTTGGCGGCTTCATGCCTGGAGGTGACCATCCCTCCAGCCTGCTGAAGCACTTGAACCAAGGATGCCCGACCTTCTTGCAGTACCAGCACGTGCCCTCCATTCTGGTACTCCCCCTGCCACTAGAGCTCCCATGCCCCT